TTAAGTCAAGTCAAGTCACCCCTTTTCATCTGAAAGACTCTGTTTACATCTAAATAATTGAATTATGCAGAAAGATTGCAAAATCGGTGAAAATTCGCCTTTTGTTCTGTCCACCTGTACGTCTTCTCTGCTGCTGTTCTTCTCCATCTTCTGGAAAAGCACCGCAGGATTTAACACCATGGCTCTCTACTAATTAATAATGGATACAGCCACAGGCAAATTGAAATTTTAATTCTTCATTTCTCTCCCACACTCTTTTCTCGGCTTTATTCAATCCAGTTGCGATTCATCTTTAGCTGTATACGAATGTAGTACAGCGATCCCCATAGTCTAATAAATGTAAAGCAGATATGGCATCTCTGACTGCAGATTTTCCTCTGTTGCTTTTATTTTTCGCTCCCACCAGTCGCAATTACTGCTGGTGAGCTTAATCGATTATGACAAAGAAGCCCCTGGCCCAATCAACATCCAACCACCATGAGTCAAGTGCTACATAAGTGTTGCAGTCATGCGATTTATACAATTTTTTTACCTCCAGTGTTGAAATAAATCACTAAAACCGTCTCAAATTGTTGATACATTTAAAAAAAAATACGATTATTGGCATCCATGCGTTTCGTAGTTTGTGCAACTTCCGTTTGCCAACATTACAGTATTGATCTACTGCTATAATGCTTGAGAGCAAGGAATCTAAGACCACTCCTCAATATGGAATCTCTCCAGATCCTCCAGGGTTCTAGGTCCTCTCTTTTGGACTGTACTCTTCAGCCCATCCCTCAGATTTTGAATGAGGTTCAGGAAACTGGGATGACCATGACTTAACCTTGATTCTGTGGTCACTGAACCCTTTTTGCATGCCTGTTTTGGATCTTGGTCCTGCTGGAAGATCTAACCATAATCTAGTTTTAGCTTTTTGGCAGATTTCCATGTAAAATGTCCTGGTATGTCATGGAGTCTGTGATACAGTGTATCCTAACAATGTTTTCAAGGCAAAAAGAGGAAAAAAAAAACAGCCCAAAGCATCACAGATTCTCCACCCTACATAACAGTGGGGTGATTTTCTTGTCTGTATAACCATCTTTCTTTTTACACCAAATCTTGAGGGTTACTATTTCGATGGTCCACTTCATTTTGATAGTCCACTTCAGATGCTTCGTAGATATTAAATTTACTTTCATGTTACATTTAACTAAATATCTACTAAATTGACAATAATTTTCATTTCTCTAAACCTGGCTCTAATCCTAACCTTAACCCCAACCCAAAACCTAAACCCAGCCCTCACCCTGGTTCTAGCCCTAACCCTGGTCCAAATCCTAACCCTAACCCCACCACTGTTTAGAACTGATTTTCAACAGATTTGTTAACAATTTGAACATCTGTAGATAATCTATAGTGGACTTTCCGAATAAAGTGAGACCAAACTTGGTTCCAGCCAAAGTTCCAGTAGCATTTACCTAACTCCAGGTGCTCACATTTGTGGTTAGATGAAAGGAAAGGCTTTCTTCTGGCATAGTTTGTTGATATGGAGTTGATGTCAAAATGTTGACCCCAAAATGCTACAACCATCATCTGCAAATCTCCATCCTACCTGGAGACTTTTTTGTCTTCTCACAGTTTGTGGGGGCAAAATATATTCACATCCATTTCCAGGCAGGTTCGCTACGGCTCCGGTTGTTCTAAAGTTCTTAATTGTTATGTTAGCAGTGGATGTGGGATCTTTGGGATATGAGGCTGTTTTTCATAGCTGTTCCTTGATTTATGAAGATCTTTTTCTCTCGTTTCGTTTACACATTCTCATATCTTCTCCAAGTTGATGAATGAAGGGAATTTGACCCCTGTGACACCTTATATAATAGAACACTCTTCTGCTCTTTTGATGCACAATTAAAGTTTATTTGTTGAATTTAACACATTGGAAAATCAGCAAAAAACAGAAATTGGGCACTACAATTCGCAGAAAAATCTACAAAACATGTTATTTGACCAGAGGTACCCAAACTTTTTTGCACACAGCTGTGAAAGAAGAAGTCTGCATACAAGCTTCAGTTACATTCGTGACACTTTATTTTGAGTGGTTCTTTTTAAATTAAACCAACACCCAAAGGACTCCTCTGAAAAATATGAGGGTTGAGGTTAAGTTTTGGGTTGAGGTTAAGGTTAGGCTTGGGATTAGGGCCAGGGTTAGGTTTTGGGTAAGGTTGGATAAGGTTAGGGTTGGGATTAGGCCCAGGGTTAGGGTTAAGTTTTGGGTAAGGTTGGGTAAAGTTAGGGTTAGGATTAGGTTTTGGGTAAGGTTGGATAAGGTTAGGGTTGGGATTAGGCCCAGGGCCAGGGTTAGGTTTTGGGTAAGGTTGGGTAAAGTTAGGGTTAGGATTAGGTTTTGGGTAAGGTTGGATAAGGTTAGGGTTGGGATTAGGCTCAGGGTTAGGGTTAAGTTTTGGGTAAGGTTGGGTAAAGTTAGGGTTAGGATCAGGTTTTGGGTAAGGTTGGATAAGGTTAGGGTTGGGATTAGGCTCAGGGTTAGGGTTAAGTTTTGGGTAAGGTTGGGTAAAGTTAGGGTTAGGATCAGGTTTTGGGTAAGGTTGGATAAGGTTAGGGTTGGGATTAGGTTCAGGGTTAGGGTTAAGTTTTGGGTAAGGTTGGGTAAAGTTAGGGTTAGGATCAGGTTTTGGGTAAGGTTGGGTAAAGTTAGGGTTAGGATTAGGTTTTGGGTAAGGTTGGATAAGGTTAGGGTTGCGATTAGGCTCAGGGTTAGGATTAAGTTTTGGGTAAGGTTGGGTAAAGTTAGGGTTAGGATTAGGTTTTGGGTAAGGTTGGATAAGGTTAGGGTTGGGATTAGGCCCAGGGTTAGGGTTAAGTTTTGGGTAAGGTTGGGTAAAGTTAGGGTTAGAATTAGGCTTTTGGGTAAAGTTGGATAAGGTTAGGGTTGGGATTAGGCCCAGGGTTAGGGTTAAGTTTTGGGTAAGGTTGGGTAAAGTTTGGGTTAGGATTAGGTTTTGGGTAAGGTTGGATAAGGTTAGGGTTGGGATTAGGCCCAGGGTTAGGGTTAAGTTTTGGGTAAGGTTGGGTAAAGTTAGGGTTAGAATTAGGCTTTTGGGTAAAGTTGGATAAGGTTAGGGTTGGGATTGGGCTCAGGGTTAGGGTTAAGTTTTGGGTAAGGTTGGGTAAAGTTAGGGTTGGGATTAGGCTTTGGGTAAGGTTGGATAAGGTTAGGGTTGGGATTAGGCCCAGGGTTAGGGTTAAGTTTTGGGTAAGGTTGGGTAAAGTTTGGGTTAGGATTAGGTTTTGGGTAAGGTTGGATAAGGTTAGGGTTGGGATTAGGCCCAGGGTTAGGGTTAAGTTTTGGGTAAGGTTGGGTAAAGTTAGGGTTAGAATTAGGCTTTTGGGTAAAGTTGGATAAGGTTAGGGTTGGGATTGGGCTCAGGGTTAGGGTTAAGTTTTGGGTAAGGTTGGGTAAAGTTAGGGTTAGGATCAGGTTTTGGGTAAGGTTGGATAAGGTTAGGGTTGGGATTAGGCTCAGGGTTAGGGTTAAGTTTTGGGTAAGGTTGGGTAAAGTTAGGGTTAGGATCAGGTTTTGGGTAAGGTTGGATAAGGTTAGGGTTGGGATTAGGCCCAGGGTTAGGGTTAAGTTTTGGGTAAGGTTGGGTAAAGTTAGGGTTAGGATCAGGTTTTGGGTAAGGTTGGGTAAAGTTAGGGTTAGGATTAGGTTTTGGGTAAGGTTGGGTAAAGTTAGGGTTAGGATCAGGTTTTGGGTAAGGTTGGGTAAAGTTAGGGTTAGGATCAGGTTTTGGGTAAGGTTGGGTAAAGTTAGGGTTAGGATCAGGTTTTGGGTAAGGTTGGATAAGGTTAGGGTTGGGATTAGGCTCAGGGTTAGGATTAAGTTTTGGGTAAGGTTGGGTAAAGTTAGGGTTAGGATTAGGTTTTGGGTAAGGTTGGATAAGGTTAGGGTTGGGATTAGGCCCAGGGTTAGGGTTAAGTTTTGGGTAAGGTTGGGTAAAGTTAGGGTTAGAATTAGGCTTTTGGGTAAAGTTGGATAAGGTTAGGGTTGGGATTGGGCTCAGGGTTAGGGTTAAGTTTTGGGTAAGGTTGGGTAAAGTTAGGGTTGGGATTAGGCTTTGGGTAAGGTTGGATAAGGTTAGGGTTGGGATTAGGCCCAGGGTTAGGGTTAAGTTTTGGGTAAGGTTGGGTAAAGTTTGGGTTAGGATTAGGTTTTGGGTAAGGTTGGATAAGGTTAGGGTTGGGATTAGGCCCAGGGTTAGGGTTAAGTTTTGGGTAAGGTTGGGTAAAGTTAGGGTTAGAATTAGGTTTTGGGTAAAGTTGGATAAGGTTAGGGTTGGGATTGGGCTCAGGGTTAGGGTTAGGTTTTGGGTAAGGTTGGGTTTTGTATAATGGAAGTAACATATTAACAAAACATAATAAGATATTTACTTCAATGTATTCGGATGCGGCACTGCTGCTACTTCACTGAGACGTTGTTGATGTGTTACTGATAATCTCTTAAGGGTTTATAAATCATCTACAAAGAACCACTCCAAACAAAGTGTTAGTTACATTTGGTTCATATAAATTTCTAGGAGTGCCAATGATTGTGACGTGGTTTTATTAGGGTTTTTGTCTAATAAGCCAGAAATGTTTTCATGACCTTTTTCTAACCCGTTTTTACAAAGGGTGCCAATAATCGTGGAGCTGACTATATATGATCGTTAACCAGTTTCTTCAGTGCAGTCACAGCTTGCCTCAGTGAGCTGGCAAGACGATCGCTTTGAGACGATCTGTTGTTAAGAATCGAATGCTTAAATATTCCCTTTTTTTTTCCTCCTGAGCACCAAATGTTGTTTCTTTCTGTTCTGACAAAGCCTGAAAGACTCCATCTGCAAAGCCTGCGCTGACTGTCATATGGTGCCCCATCCCTCTCTCAAACCCAAGCCTGATCCATCAAATGCTGTTATGCAAGGCTAGCATCTCACACTAAGCTCTCTTTCCCTCTCTCCCTGCAGGTGTTTCTCCAGGTCTGACCATTTGGCTCTGCACATGAAGAGGCACATCTGAGGGAGGAAGAGGAGAGCGAGAGCGAGAGCGAGGGAGGGTGGGAGAGAAAGAGAGAGAGAGAGAGAGAGAGAGAGAGAGAAGGGGAGTGCGAGAGAAGAGGTTCACCCAGAGAAGAAGACCCCTGCGGAGAACTCAAAAAACAAAAGCTCGAGCTTCCTGAGAGGAGATAGAGGGGGAGCTTTTGAGCGAGAATCACGAGGCGAGGAGGTTTCTGAGGGCAAAGCTTACGGGATTCTTCAGCAAGTCCGCAAAATCCATTGCCATTTTCGCATTTTTTGATCCGTTTAATTAGCCCGAGCGCTTGGCTTGGGAGTCAGACACTGCCAAACTGTTGCTGTTGTCTTTTCCTTCACTATTACTCTTCTTTGTACAGTAAAATCACAACATGAGACAGGAGAACCTGTGAACACTGCATTATGTACAGATCCCTCCAGCGCACATCACGTTCCACACGAAAAAAAAGAAAATGATGCTTCTGCTGTAGAAATGTAAATGTCCTCTCAAGAGTCGTACCCTCTGACACTGGACCGGAAAGTTCGCTTCCTTGTTCTTCTTCCGAGGATTCGTCATCGCGACGTCTTCGCGCCGTGTACAGCGAGCTCGCCAACTTTGGAAGACGACGTTGCCAAAAGACAGGCTTCCGGACGGTGGCCAGAGCCTTGTGGTCCAAAGGCGAGGTCCGGGCTGACCTCCCCCTGCTCTCCGCTTCAGAGCGTGCCTCCCTCTCTCGTTCTTTAGGCAACTAAAATGCGCAGCGACACTTTCTTGCCTTTGTTTTTTTGTTTTCTTTCTTTTTTTTGTAAAAGACAGTGTTACGACAAACAGAAAGATTGTTTCTGAACTGAAAATGTCTTAAAACTTGGAAAACAAGAAGACGAACTTTGCATACACGAGCGTGAATGTGCACATACGAGCACTGGGAATTGCTTCGGACAAAGCGGCCTTCCCTGCATGCGCGAAGTGTTCAATCCAGCGGCACCTATCTAGCACTGACAGGAAGGACGTTTGAAGAAACGGACAAAGGATCTGGGCTCTACTGGCTTGCAATGAAAAGGGAAGGATGCCCCTCTGGTTTTCTGTTCTGTTTGCTCCATTCCGAAAGCAAGCGCTTTTCTACACTGGAAAAAACGCTCGCTGGCTCTGTGCTGATACCGGCGCCCATATTGGAGCTTCTACGGAGGACTAAAAGGCCCGTCTCCAGCTGCTCCTGCAGAAACTGGAGGCAAGCAGGACATTCTGCCTCTTGGAATTTCTCAGACTGGAGACGCCTGCTGGCATCAGAATTCCCGAAAAGGAAAAAAAAGAAAAAAAAGGAACACAGTGGCATCAGGCCAGACGAACTGTTGCCTGTTTCGTATCCATTGTCTGCACTGACTTTTTTCAATGTTCTCTGTGCTTTTTTTTCCATACAGATGAAAAAAAAATAAACAAAATAAAACAAAAAAAGGTCAAAAATACCACGAAACAAACAAAAAAAAAACAGAAAACGGTTAAAAAAATGATAATAAAACAAATCTCTCACATAGACGCGCACGCAACAAGAAAACACAATGGTTTCTTAGCTCATGGCTCTTTTTTCGGAGCCAAAAAAATCACAGGAGAAATAATTATGGAGTTAATGAACAGAGTTAGAAACAGAACACTGCATGGCAGCCTCTCTCGAACATACACACACTTAACGCGCACGCAGATTGCTTCCCGGCATTATTTGTTCTACTACGATATCTTCGCAGTAGGGTTTTTGTTTTGTGTTCTTCAGCGGAGGAGGATTTCTTTGCGCCTGAAGTCAAGCTTTGAAGTTGGAAACGCGAGAGCTCATTCATATGTTCTTGCAGTCGCGCTAAACTAGGCCTAGGCTTAGCTCTAGCTTAACAATCAGCTTTGGAATCTGGGGATGAGTCCGCGTGGTTGTTCCCAAGGTTGTGAAGCCTGCCAAGGACCTACGACCTTCTTCTCTGTTAGGTTCGGGGTGCGGGGGTTTGGGGGCTCTGTTACATTGAAAGGGAGATTCAAAGCCATCAAAAACTAAACGGACCCAATATGGACTTCAGGGGAACCTCGCAAACCCGATCGATACCAAAAAACCCGAAGCTGCCCAGGCGCCGCTCTCCAATACGAAACCTGCTGAAGGCAGCTCCTCCTCCACCAATACACCCACACACACACACACACACACACACATGCGCGTGCACACAGGAAAACACTTTTCGACTACAAGGACGTATCAAATCTGCTCTAGGCAAACCTGGATTTTTCGGTTTTCGCGAATCGCTTTTGGATTTATATGCTCAAGACCTTTTTGGATTTCTTTCACTTTTGGTTTCCGTGCCATGGGTTTCGTTTTTTGGTTCTCCACTGAGATGCAAAGGATGCCAAACTCAAAGTGGAGGGATGACGTTATTTGACCCCTCCCACACTCTACGTACAATCAGATTTTGGGGTTATCGTGTGGCACTTTTTCCGCTAGAGGCGGCACGCGTTCGTGATGATTGTAAGTCTTGTCGATGCAGGGCACATTCCAAGAGGAATACTGGTATAGTGTCATGTTAGCATTGTGAATAACACTACACCGCCCATTTGACGGGGGCCAGTTTTTCAGAATTTCTTCACTGAGATGCAAACAAAGTCAATCAGAGTCGGTTTGATGTGAAATGGTTCATTGTAGAGGTCTTCATAGTGGTGATGATGGGGAAAAATCTTATTTACTGTCCAAAACAACCAGTTAAACTACACTTTTTGGGGTTTTTGTACAGTATTGAATGTTGATGATGGTAAAAAAAAGATACATCTGAAAAAGAACACCTTTTTTGGGTGCCTTACAGTGCCACCTCCCTGCCATGAATCGATTTAAAAAATGTGTTTTAGGTCAAAAGCTTGTTGCCAAACTATCGTAAAACAATATCTCAGGAATCAGGCCTCATATTCTTATCCATTTCAGGTAATACGTCCCTGCAAGGATACTTTTAGAGACAATAAATGCTTCCATAATCTGGTTACCATCAATGCCACTGTGACTTCTTTGGAAAGTTTCACATCAAACCATTCGGAATGACTTAGTTCACATCTTGACTATTGAATAGTGCAGAGAGTTTGGAAAATCGTCTCCTCTTTAAGGAGTTGTGGGACACTGCAATGAGCACTGGTCGGTTGCATTAGCCAAAACGATGCGATCAAACTCAGAATACATTCACCCTTGAGGATCTTCACCCTAAGACCTTGAAAGATACAACCAACCTTGACCAAATGCCCTTCAAAGAAACCAAGAAGTGTTGATTCCGGTCTCCCACAACTCTTAATGTACTCTTCACTTGTGCTAGCCACCATTTGAGAGAAAGCAGCAACCAGAAAACAGTGTCATATAGTTCCTTTTTATCGAAGGAGCACGAAAGGAGCCTCCACAGCTTCTAACGCCCGATGATACATCTGTACATTGCCATTGTAAATGCATAAATGCAAGACTAATAATGCGAAGAACTTATTTTTTTGCCGAGAAAAACTATAACGTTCCAGAACGTACCAAATGAATATGACATAGGCCAATCCAATAGAATAGCAATCAGCATGCTACAGACGTCGCCTGCACTTGCTGAGTTTTGAACGCCCACCCCCTATCCCCTCCCCTTCCCCCACCTCCTCCTCTCCCCCCCCCGACACCTCCTCTCTCCTACACTACAGTAACGACAGCAGTGATCAATGCACAATCAACTGCCAGAACATCAAATGCACGCTCACCCTTTGCCCAAAGATTTGCAAGTAAACTGCTGGGTGAAAATGAGCGAGAGAAAGAGGACGTTTTTGTTCGTTTTTTTTAGTTTGGTTGACCACTTAACGAGATGCTATCCCCTCCCCAAAGCCAAGCCCATTGAATTTCTTTTCCTGAGCATCAGCGTGTGACCACTGCCATGGTCTTTTGGGTATGTGTGCTTGTAATATAGTCATGCCGGTTTGTTTGCCAAGCCGAGGGTGATTTATTTGATTCTTTTTTGCAGAGTAGCAGTGCAGCAGCAGCAGCAGCAGCAGCAGCGAAGTAGTTGCACTGGTTTTAGTACATTGCATATATTACCGTGGAGTCTAATCTTTCTGAGGGATGTTTAAGGTGAAAAAAAGAGTCTTCGGGAGGTCAGAATTGCCTGTCGAGTCGGGATGCCTCTTGAATGTTGTGTGCGTTCAGCAAATCACTGGTGATGCCCAACATTTTCCCAGTAATCAAAGCAAATTTGCTTTTATTTGGACTGGATTCGGGCCACACTTGGCAGACCAACAGCAGTCTGTAAAAGAGTGAAAGGTGTTTTTATGTATTTATCCTAAGAAGACAGGGAACAGTTAGCATCCTGTAAGCCACCTTCCAGTGAAACGAATCCCCAGCTGTTACATTTTGGCTGAAGTGGAGCTTTTAGGCAGATAAGAACGATGGAACAGGCAAATGGTCTCGGTTGACTTTATCCCCTCATACTCACAGATCGTAGATGTTCCATTGCTTAGTTTGAACAGAACTTTAAACAGAACCATTTCAATACATACCATACGCACTTTGTGTGTACTGCTACAGTAGCTTAGTCTGTTAATCCGCACCACTGTCGATTGTCCACTTTGTCATGACTTTTTTCAAGATGTACCTCTCGCAGGAGCACATGAGCTCTTCTTTTGGCTGTTTGGAGTAGAACAGTAAAGTCAGTGAATGGACCATTTTAGGATCATGGAGCTTATAGGATTATAACCCTAATTTGTGCCTGATTGGATAATCTGGCCTTATTAAAAGGGGCAGTAGTCAGGACAGTATGTGTCTACCTACTATGCAGTAAAGTCATCAGTGTTGAATCAACTCCTGGAAAGTGTATCGTCGCTGTCGTAACAAAATCAAGTAGCTTTTGACTATTTCTGCTGGCCCCATTGCCGTGAAATGTACACAATGTAAAGGTCAGCTGCCATTTTCAAATGGTATAAGGGCCATATAGAGGCCAGAAACAATAGAGTTACAAGGTTTTGACATGACAGCAGTGATATCTGAGCTAAATAGGCCCATTTTACATTTCTGGGTTGCCACTTCCTTCAGTTTCAGGTAATTTTAGATTGTAAGTCATCAAATCAAATTAACTTTTAAGGTGTTTTTAAGGCAACTTCAAACAAAGCCTGCTAAATTGGGACTACAGTACTGTGCAAGTCTGAGACCACCCCTCATTTATTTAATCTACATTCAAAATAGCTATTAAGTATAAGTTATTTATCTTTCAGTGGCAAGAAAACAAGCAGAAAATGACACAAAAGCCTCAAAAAATCTTTACAGGTACCATTTTTGCGCTCTCCTGTAAAGTCCTCATTTATAGTTTTCTTTTTGGACAGCGACGATGTTTCCTGTTGTAGTGGCGGGTCAGAAAACTGAAAAGGGCCGAGGATTGAACCATGTAGGAATGTACGGGTCCATACTTGAACCCTGGCGGAGTTCATTTGACACTGTTTACTTTCCTGCATATCATAAAATAACCTTAAAATGAGTGACCCAGTTATTAGGCTCATGTCCTGCGATCACAGAGTGCATCTTGGAGTCAGTCTCTGTCTGCTGTGCTTGTCCGAACTCGATGTGTCAGTATATACAGGATTCACCACACCTTTCCTTTCCTATGTCTCTCGCCCCCCATTCCTCTCTCTCCTCTCTCGTCTGTCCCACCCTGCATAAGCAGGACCGCCGCCAGCTGCTCCCAGATCAGCTCCTAGAAAGCCTTTGGAAAAAAAAAAAACCCTTCAGTTACCATGCCGTCGCTTTCATGCCCCGCGTACCGTGTTCCCGGCTGTCCAGAGACAGTGACCTTTTACTTGTGAACGTCCCCGGCAGTCCACTAAGCAGGGAGCCACTCAGACCAACGACAGACCTCAGCCGACACGCTTCGTCCTCTAACGGGTGCTTTTCTTTTTGGCCGCTTTCCTCCGCCGCAGCCCTCTGGGGGGCTTGGCCGGCGACGGCTTAGCGCAGGTTGCGTCGGGAAAAAACGAAAGGGAGTTCAGTATATGCCATCCTTCATGCGCGTCCACGGTGGCAGGACATCAAAATCTTACACCATTTGTACAGCATGTAGTTTCTAGCTAGAGCAGGGCCCCCTCCATCCACACCTTCATCCTCATCATCGTCACCCTCACCCTCACCCTACCTACACCACAACCGCCCTTCACCTCCCGCTACCTTCACGCTCACTTCCTCTACGTTTGTTTTCTTTTGTTTCTTTTTTATTCAATTCGGTTCCTTCGTTTTTCCGTTCTTCTCCTTTTTGATTTGCTGTATAAAGTGTTTAAAATATTAT